ACAGATTGTTCTAGAAGCTACGCCACCGCCAGCGATAACGCTAGAACATTCGACGGCAAGAGTATAAATGCCGACGCGCTTCGCCGCTTGTCAGTTGTTGATCGAAGGCCGACGCTCCGTTCGCCGCTATCAGTCCGAGACTGCTATCTGTGCGAGACTGCTGCTGTAATTGGACTTTCAGTTTACCGGGCACAGGTTCGCCCAAATAAACAGTTAAATCCTAACACGAAGTCTCCTGTCTTCGGCCACGTCACGACCCCGTGACAGTATATACATCCAGCGCTTCTACTTACATCTGCTGCCAATTTATTTATATGTTCATTCCCGGAAAGGTCTTCCTGGAACCACACACCCAAGAATTTCTGTACCTTGACTTGTTCTAAAGTCTGACCCTCAAAGGAGATACTTAGACTTATATTCCGTGGCTTATTAATGGGTGCAAACAATATATATTTAGTTTTACTCGCGTTTAGCCGCAACTTGTTTAGTTTAATCCAGGAAGACAACTTATTTAGATAAGTGTTTACAGACTTTAAAGTTGAGAGATCGATGAACCAGCAAAAAATATATTGGTGTCGTCAGCATACATGATTAACTTACGAGAATCCGGAATGCTACACAAGTTATTTACATAAACTATAAACAACAGAGGACCAAGTATCGATCCTTGTGGGACACCTTTGTTGACCCTCGCACGGGGAGATGTCTCTTGATTAATAGCGACATACTGATAGCGGTCTGTTAAGTAATTTCGAATTAACCTATTGGCAACGCCACGGACACCGTAGTTATTAAGTTTTTCTAAAAGAACACTGTGGTGCACGGTGTCGAATGCTTTGCGGAAGTCAACAAAAAGACCAAGAGTATATAGCTTTTTCTCAAAATTGGTTAGTATCTCGTTTTTAATATTGAGTAATGCAAGCTCGGTGGATTTATATTTTTGAAAGCCAGATTGGGCATCACTTATTACATTGTACTTCGCAAAAAAGTTTTGTAAACGGGACGAGTAACGGGACGAGCCTGGCCAACGCCAAACGACGAGCAGCCTGGCTAACGCCAGACGACGAGCGGCCTGGCCAACGCCAGACGATAGATGATGCTCGGGTGCCCGACCAGGTGGGAGCCCGCAGCAGCCTTGCCTCAGGAACTCGGCCGCCACCCCCGCGCCCTGGTAGCCTGCTTGCCTCCGTCGCGTCCCGGCCACGTCTGCCCCGTTCTTCGTTCGGGCTTCATCCAAACCAGCGTGGGGGGCTCTCATTGGTCCGAACTTCACGCGCCTCGTCTGCCCATCGTCTTCCTCACCGAATACATCGCGAAAGCGCGCGTCCACACCATCGGTCGTCGTCGTCTTCTTCCCTATACCGGTGCACTCGCGCACATTTTAAACCGAACACTGGTTGCATTCGCGCACTTCACGAAACGCGCACTTCACTTATCACAACGACACAGCTATGGGCCCCTCACCTGGTGAAATAAATTTTGGTTGGACACTGGAATTGCAGTGCGGTCAATAAAGGGCATTATGCCATAATAATTTTTCTATTCGGTTCCTAAGAAACTGAGAAAACTAATGTTTTGAAGTGGTATGAAACCATTATGCAGGAAGGCGAGAACCCTTACCCCTTGCCCTATGTAGCCTTCGCAAGCCAAATACCTTCCTTGCCCCCTTCGGCACGTGAGCGGGAAGATTACATGACACATATGCGTGAACACATCACACACACACGTGATCACGAGTATAGTCACGAACTTATGACCTGCGTGAACCATGCCGAACCTCGAGGTTGATTGATTGAAAACATTTCTTCCAAATTAAAACAGAGGTGTAATCATAAGAGGCTCCGCAGTCGGCGGAGTTCCTGTTACAAATCAAGAGTTAAGAAGTAGACCCCATGGTTAACATCCGCTAGCTTAGCCTCCGGACTGAAAACGTCTGTGCCTAAAGGTCTGAGCAAGTGAGCCGGGTCGCCTTGCACTCCTCTCGAGTTGGGTTAAGGTTGGCTGAAAGAGCTTAGTTGAGATGTCAAGCCTAAACGATGTGGCAAGTTTCTCCTCATAATATTGACACTTGCCAGTGAAGGAAGAATCGGAATATTCTTTGTTTGCCGGGAACATTAGGGTAATAAGGCAGCAATGAGAGCAAGTTGGTACATCTTCATGCTTCTGATGCACTGCAGTCTAAGGAAAAAAAACATAGACAATACAGAGGGATGCGCAATCATTCTGTTTCGTCTCTGGTTTTTTCCTCACCCTGAAGTGCATTACAAGCTTGAATAACATTAAAGTATTAGTGAAAAGTCGCACCAAGTGACGAAATACGTTCCCAGTCCGTTTGCAGACATATGACGATGTCTATACCTGTATTAGGTCATAATGTCTCTTAATTCCAGCAGATATCCGCCGTCGAGCTTAAGGTACTGAAGATCTAAGCATGAAACCCGGAAAACGAGTTCTCGGACCCCCGTGTTGGTGGCTCATTAGGTCCTGGTGGCCTGGAGTGCAGACAAGGCAACGGGGGGTAGGGTTGCTTCCCCGTTTGCTGTAGCTCTGCAATATTGTTTCTGCTGGCGATGTGGTCGAACCAACTTCATAATGTCGTCATGTCTAACGCAAATCTATTATGATACGTAGAGCTCGGGCATTGCAGACAGCTGGGCATTGGCTACTCCTACCGCAGGTGTTGTGCCAGAGGCTTTGAAAGCAAATACACCTGATTGCTTCTTCTCGTAGATGATTGCTGCCGTATACCCTCACCCGTAGTCAGGACAAGCTCCATTCACGTAAAATACTTCATCTTTATTGTCATGGGGACTTCCCTATTAGTTTTGCGGGAAGGGGTCGAACTCTGACGGCGCGTCTCCAGAGTTCGGGCACTAGAACGCGCTCCTGAGTGTGAAAGTCATGTCTCAAGTGGAGCCCTGCTCCTGCTGATTCCTTGCAGACTTTGTGTTAGATGTGTGTATTGGCCCCGTCGCGGTGGTCTAGTGGCTTAGGTACTCGGCTTCTGGCCCGCAGGTCACGGGATCGAATCCCGGCTGCGGCGGCTGCATTTGCGATGGAGGTGGAAATGTAGGCCCGCGTGCCCAGATTTGGGCGCACGTTAAAGTACCCCAGGTGGTCGAAATTTCCGAAGCCCTCCACTACGGTGTCTCTCATAATCATATGATGATTTTGGAACGTTAAACCCCACATATCAATCAATCAATCAATCAATCAATCATATGTGTGTATTGGTTCGTGAGCTGTGCATTCTTGAGCTCCTGAAAAGTGTTCACCATTGCAAGTGCATGCTAGAAGTCTCGCATTAGAATCGTTACGTGGAGGTCATCAGCACGTCATGCCGAATGCGTTCTTGCTGATCACTTGAATGTCAATATGTTAATGAGCAAGAAGGCTGCGACATTTGTACGGCCACAAAGGTAGCTGGTGCTGCGTGAACGTTTAGGTGGATGCGGGAACATGCGGGAACAGGGTAGCAATTTAGTTTTATTCTTACTGGTGGCGTCTGCACGATGCGAAAAGCGCGGAAATACGAACATGCAAATTTTCTAAATTTCAATAACTACGGAAATGATGGGTGGTGCACAAGTTCGCCTTGTCTTAGTGCTCGTTGCGAAATTGTTCGCCGATTGGTATCGGTGAGCTTAGAAAGGTCAAGGTGAACAAGCTTAGCTGTTAAACGTTCGCTCAGCTTTGTCATGCGGCAAAGCGGGCTACACAGAGTCAAACGGAGCCGAAAGAACGAATATATGAGAAATCTGTGTACTACTGTTCATGCTCATGCTAGCCGAAGCGGCATACGTGGAAGCTTTTATAGACACTAGCGCCAAAGTTACCTCTAGTGTATATATAGGAAACTTTGTGAATACAAATGCTGGTGAAGAGGAGGTCTGGAATCTCGCTGTGATTCGAAATGAAAATTAAAAAAAAGATAACATGCACATGTAACGTTTGAGTGTAGTATTGTGGTTTTCATGTTTTCATTTTTTCAAACAACAAATTGCACAAAGTGAACAGTACAAGTCGAAAAACCATCACAGTGTCACATGTTACTGTGGATGACGTCAGAGTGGCGGTGTCTACGCAGAGGATTCATTTCAAAGCACTAGGCCCATTTCTTCTTGTACGTCATACCCTCATTCTCGGGGCGTGCACCCGCGAAAAAAAGGGAAGACAGAGTTAAGCTTTAAATTTAACCATTTTCGAGGCGCGTAGTGGTCCAAATTTCGGCAGACGTGATTAGCTAAATATAGTGAGACCTTATGAAGGGCACTTCATGAAAATTTCAGTTAGAGTGTAGTAAATCATTTCGAGTGAGCCAAGAAGGGTTCCAAAGTGAGAGACTCGGCGTCGACAGAAGGGATGACGATCGATGTGAACGAGGGTTGTGCTTGCGTGCGGTTCCAGGCGCACGCGAGGGCGGGGACTTCTTTCTCATAAAAACGCATTATTTACGGAGTGCTTCGTTAACCGAGTGCAAGAGGTGCGTTACGTAGTTTTCTAATAAATCTGCTGTGACAGCATGGGGACGCTAACGTAGACGCCGACGCCAGCGGCAAAATCCAGCCGAGAGTGTCCATATAATTATCATCGCAATATAACATCGAAAAAAGAAGGGGAAAAATTGTATTCATCTGACGGTCTTTCTAGCAACGTATCCTTCCGGTTACCTGAATGAGTTTGCTTACACGCCGAATCTCCGCATCATTCTGTTTGATAATTCTTACCAGCGGCCTCGTCTTTAAATGTGATTTTCACGCATTTTGTGAAAACGGGCACCTCACTCATTACGGCGTGGCAATAAAACTGTGCTTCATTATTGTTTTCGCAGAAGACTGCGTATACAATACTACGACATCTAACTTGTTTTTCTTCTATACCTAGCTCCATAGTTCTCAATTATTGCAATAAAATTTAGCATGAATTGCGGCATTATATAGCATTTGGAAATGTCATGAGTCGGATAATGTGATATGAATGAATTTTCTCGTTCGTTGCAGCCGAGTATGTGGAAGTACCCGTAAAAATCAAGTCTAAAAGTAAGTGTCAATGTTGGTTTTAATATTATCACTTTATTGTTTAGGCTAGCACCCATTAGTCCGAACAGTTGTAATTTTTTTTGCATTTACTACCATGGCGATCATTTACCGAACAAAATCCAAAGAACTTTGAACGAAAAAATTGCGTGTTCTACCAACAAAACTCTTAGGAATGTCCTCCTAACCTTCTGAACGAAAGAATTCGCATACAATTTTCTTTGCATAAATGAACAGATTCTAGTTTCGTTTGCAAGCTGTATCAAAAGTAAATTGTCTTAGCGCTCTTTGTTGCTTATGTCATGCTGTGGAGACTTCTTAAGCGATAGTTAACGTTCGATTGGCAGCAGAGCTTGAAATATAACGCATTATGTGTTTGTATTCGAGACAAAAATGACACGGCGCAAATTGAGTGCGGTACACGTAATAATTTCTGTAAAGTGCACCTGTGGTTCTAATATATTGCGCTTACTCCGAAGGCAAGCACAACATTGACTTGAACATTACAACGCATCACATGCCAATGCATATTCCTCTGTTAATAATAACTGTTACCCTGATTCCAGAACACAAGAAGGCAAAAAAGCAAAAAGGTAAGCGTTAAAAACACATGATAGAACTTTAATGCCAATAACGTAAAAGCGCTATGCATATATGTGAATAAGATATACAAATGAGTCTCATTTCGCGCTTGCACGCAGTTACCATTGTCCAAGCGAGACCAGTGTATGAGAACTACGGCTACGGCAGTTCTTACAACAACTACGGTAAGAATCCTCCGATAAATTAGGATGTCGCAGCTTCGTCAAAATACCCCAGTGATAAATAATCTTAGCTTACAATCACGCTTAATTTACCTTCCGCGGAATGTGTCTTGCGATATTTAGGTTCTGAAAAGCCTCAATGCTCCCGTAGTCTGTTACGTATTACCCAATTTTGCTCATCTACGGGATTATGTTGCAAAGTGCACATTTTACTTGACGATTCTCTGTTCCTATCGACTCGACATCTTAAGGTCACTGCTGAACGTTCAGTGCTAAGTCAGGCTTTGCTTATCGAACATATTATCTACAATGAAATCGTGTTCAGCACTACGGTTGAGGCATTAAAGCAGTGCGCGAGGGCTCATTCCGTGAAAGTTTCTAGTACCATTGCGGAACACGAACGCGGATAACACCTCCCTCCTCCGACACGACTGGCGCAGCATTGTAGGGCTCTACGAAAGTATCTCCGTTATCTAGAATCTCCTCTGTATTTGGCAATATGGTGGTGATGATGTCGTGGATCGCGTGAAACTATCGCCGCGTTCTACATGGTAAGCTGGCCCCCATGAAGGCCACATGTGAATGCCAATCGTCGATGACTACCCCCTCTGCCAAAGCACATTTGAGATGTTCCCTGCGAGGTTAGAAAGCCTTCAGAGCACCTGGCAGCAAAATGTCCTCCTCCGGTAACCTTACCCCACCTTACCCGCAGGCGGTGCCGTTTTAAGCCACACTGAACTATCCTTGCGTGATTGTGGTCGCATGATATGACGGCCTATAACTGTCTGTAGCCGTGACGCAGCGAACTATGAAAAGGAAATTTATATATGTAACTTTAGGAGACAGCAAGACCAGAGTGGGTCAAGGAATAAACGGTGTTTAAGGACGATTCTAGGGTGTTTAAGGACGAATAATAGGAAATGCACGCGGGAAGGGCACATAGCAAGTAGGCAAGGTAACTGACTTTATTTGAGGAGGAGAAAATGTGGAAGGAGGAGACAGGGAATCGGTTAGGTATGTAAAATTAAGAAGGTGAATTTCTGAGAGCCCGACCACAGCAAAAATGACAAAGAACAGAGTAGATAATTTCACGGAACTTCAAGTTTTTTACTTGTGTTCCACTTTTTTTCTTGTGTTCGCGTGGCGAGAAATTCGCCATCGTGAACCCAAACCAACTAGTCCAACTTATACACTTGCGCTGGCAGCAGCAGGCAGAGGACCGGGTTGATTGGCAGAACATGGGAGAGTTTTTTGCCCTGCTGTGACCCTAGTCAGGCTGCAGCTGCTTGATAGGACCGGGGTAGTCGGCATCTCACCTCGTTGTTGCGGCTCGGGTCCGGCGGTTATCGTCGTGGATAGTTGCCCCCCCCCCCCCCAACAGACCCGTTTAGCCCGTCTTGCAGAAAGGAAAGCGCTATCTTAGGGAGATTTATACAGAAGTTCATTTACACAGATTACATCGAGGAGAGTTACATCTTGACAGTTTTGTTTCGAAAAGCTCTTTCTCGGAAAAGAGCCATGGTTCGGAAACCATGATGGGATGCGAATCAGCAGCGGTGCGCACGCTGTTGACGTGGCTAAAACAGGCATCGACGTAGGTGACTCATCAACAGTTTAAAGTGAAACTCGGTGTACCATTGAGTCGAGTAAACGTTTTTTTTGAAACGCAAATGCTCGGGAGGTGGGTGGGGTTTTGTGTAAGTTTCCTCGCAGATAAACGAGCCGAAAGAGTGTTTCTTTTTGATATGGGGTCGAGCGTTGTGGGCGATGGAGAGGGTGAAGCGAAGAGAAAATTAATCTCTCCCTCACCAGCAGCAGCCGGCAGCTGCTGCGAGTGAGGGAGAGGTTAACGTCCACGCGCAGTTGTGACTTCACCTACTTGGCATCGTTACAAGAACTACAGGGGGAGGGTGGCGCATTGGCACGGAAACACAGACGGACAGCGTTACAAAGGCTGGTCAAACAGTTGCTTCACACCTAATAAACAGTCTCGTTTCCATAAGTTCGTGAATGAGGGAAATCACACCAAAATAAACTCTCCAATTCCAAGACGCACGCCACTTCCAAAGGGGCCACCCGCACACGCCCACGTCCTCGACTAGAGCCACCACACTTCCAATGTGGCACCACAGGGTGCTCTCGCTGCCGTGAGAAGGTCGTTGGGTCTCACGCTCGTGTTGATGGATCAAGAAGACCACAGCGATGCCACTGTTCCTTCGAGGATAGCTGTCGTGACCAAAAACTATTGTGGTAATTGCGACGCCGGACTGGAGGACGCCTTACTTCCCGGCCTAGAATTACAACGCCCGCCTAGGTTTGAACTGCTTTCCGCAGGCTAGCAGCCTTTCAGCGACTCGTTTGCAGTACGCAGAATTCTGCTCCCCTTTTCGGGCCAAGCGCCGAACCTAACATACCGCTGCTGATGATGATAAAGAACTACGCCTTCGCGCGGGTGTGTGCGAAGCATACTCAGCGAATATAAAAAAGCTTTGCTATAGCAAACTGTTGTTTGCCTTGGTGTTTCACTTGCTTTAGAAAGATTTTTTGCATGTTGTTTTTGAGTTGCTCAAGCAAAAAAGAAACCCAGTGAGCAACATAGAAAGCTATGAATGCTGTGATTGTGGATCTCGGAAAGCCTAGCACTGCCTCGGGTTTCCAAAGCTATACGCAAGACCAACTCCATCTTAAAGTGTACTTCGTGACTTGTACACTCCGCAATTCGTAGGACTGGGGCTCTGCTCATGGGTAGAACCCACATACTTGGCGTCAACCACCTCGTGCAGCAATGATAGCGAACAGCGATGAGGGCATCTTCTCGTTCGACCTCGTGCTTCTGTTCACAAGTGTGCCTGTCACGTTCGCAATCTTTAGCTCACGAGCTGCCTCGTGAGCTGAAGATTGCTGGGAATACTGGGATTGCTGAAAATATTGGCATCGATTCTGAGTGCCACCGAAAACTGATTGGTTTTTCTGGCGGAATCGCCGGCGCCCGCTTCACACTTCAGGTTGAGAGTACTCCTTTCTCGAGAAGGCAGCATTTCGAGGCCACTCTCCTCTTTAACTCTGCCGAACAACGCTACATATTATAAAAAACAAGAACAAAAATAGAACGCTTTTATCGTGATAAAGAAACGGAAAACTGCTCAGGTGACTTTGTACCAGTCGTGCGCCTGCTGAATTTTATTTTTTGCTGTTTGATCAAGGAGTTTTATGTTTGTTTTTGGTCATGCTACGAAAATTCATCTCTTGAAGTTCAGCGTTCGACCTGTAGTTGCCCGCCAATGTGTGCAGGTATATCGAAATGTGTATACATGTAATTCTACGTCAATACGTGTCATGTCATAGCACGGTCGACACTATGCGTTACGAATAACATACCTGACATACCGCTTTTAACTGGACGTGAATGGCATGATTGATAGGTCGCTGTGAAATCTTTAGGTGAGAGCTATATAAGCCCAGAGCAACATGACACGTAGGTCGGCATGTGCCACTCACATAAACCACAGCGGGTCTGTTGTCAATCGTCTAATGCTCACAATTGGTGAACGGTTCTATAGCGGGACAGCTGATATTGCCCAAGAGCTGCACAGCATGGGCTAGTGACAACTCGTAGTGACTATGTGTTGTCGTGAGGCAGATGCTGGCGAATAATGTTGATTAGAGCTTAGGTTAAGTTTACTAACATTGGACTAACTTGATTGTTTCTTGAGTTTGCAAATTTAAGTTGAGGCTGCTTCTTCAAATTCATGGGTGTCAATTAGTGTTTTGTAGTGCAGAATATCATTGGTTGCTGTTTGAGTGTTCGGCTGGTCTTTGGTGATATTGCTTATACGTTCTATAAACTTGGCTCAATTTCGGCTAGTGTTGTGCGTTGCTTGCTAGATCTTGCGAGTCGTGGCTTATGTTGTGTCTAGCTGGGGCTATCTGTCGGCCTCAGGAACCTAACACTTGCTATTTTTAGCCAACGCTTGCATTGCACTGAATTAGATTTCATCTGGTCGCCTAGCGATTTGGGTTGCCTATCAGGGCTTTCTAACGTTGCCTACAGTCGTGAACTGTTTGAGAAGTACACCTACACGTTTTACAAACCCAAGTTTCCCACCCCTGCGCAGGGTTGCAAACCGATTTCTTCTAACAGCTCCCTGCGTTTTTATTTCCATCTGTTTTTTCTCTCTGTGTGTACCTTGCTAAACACTCTTACAGAGATGCAGAAAGTATTGCATATGCACTACTCTAACCCTGGCGCTAACAGTCTCGTTCGGCCAGTCGCCGCAGGAATGCGCAAGCGAAAGTTGTATACCATATGCAATCGTTAGCGCACAGGAGCATTCATTCCTCACCCATTAAAGTCGCCTGTCGTCTCGAACGAGTTGAGCACTCGTTGTATTTTCAAGTTCACTTGCACTTTGTGAAAATTGAAATAGTGCACAATAGTCGGCCCTTTACTGATTGCTTCGGCCAATTCTCTCGGTGCGTGGGTGGAATACTTATTTTGAATCTAGAAAAAAGCCTTATATACGGCAGAGCAGCGTTATGTACCATCTTGATGTCAGCATTACCTGCTTTTGCGAATGCTTGAACACACAGAAATCCTAAATCCCAACTTTTACTGTTTCTCGCAGATGACTACGTGGTCGTCCCTAAAGTAAAAAAAAGTGAGTAGATGATCGTTTATTCTTTTTGACGGATGGTGGTAATATTCCTTGTAGGAAAATGCAAGTGTGTCTGTAAAGCATAGATTACATTATGTCAAGTTCGTAGCTACTTGCGGTGAGTTCATTTTTCACGAGTTTTAGCTTGTGTTCATTTACCGTATATGCTAGAATATAACGCGATCTTTCTCCTTGAGAGCGTTATATGCCGAGGTCCGCCAAGACTTGAGTGATGCATTTATGGCGCGAAAATGACGTCGAAGACAACGTAAACATCAGGTGACAACGAAAAATAGCTCCGTCTGGGAAAATCGATCTCATGTCCACTCGGCCCGCAACAACAAATACCGGGCACGATATCGACAGCGGCGTGCTCAAGTACTCTGCAGTATTAAAAAACGCACATTTCCACAAGTTCCTCCCACAGAGCCCTTATTTCTTAGGCTGGTGTCGCTCTCCGGGAGCATCATTACCGGGGCCTCAGTCATTAGCTTCTGCAAGGGGTTGTTGCTAGACGTTCGTATCGTTCAACGTGTTTTAGTGGGTGAAGGTGAATTTTTTCAACGCCTTAGCACAACGCGACGTGATGACCTCAGCCGGAGAGTCAGATTTTGTCACATTTAAGGCCTTGCGTACATTCCTGCTCTCTGGAATCCCGGCCACAGTTTTCCATCACTTAAACATGCCGCCGCAGGATCGTGGCCGTGGCCCAAGTTTTGCATCCAATTGGCGCCGCTCTTCTGTCACACTGTTATCTCTGATTACGCTTTCCCCGTTAACTACTAGAGACACCACAATGGTTTGCTTAATCAATGATCATGTCATCGAGATGGAGATGTACCACGAAGCGTCAACGTAGGTACAATACCGTTAAACCATGCTGTAGCTGCTATAGGCACCACTTAAAATTGTGAAAACTATTTTTTTGCAAATATTACTGTAGAGACCCGTTTCAGTTCCGCGTTACACAGAATTCCTCACTACCTGAAGCCGATCCTCACTCCAACACCAATATTGGAATTGAAAAGTGTGAGGATGCACCTAAATGTATACGAATACAGTTCTGGTCATTTCGTGCAGCATCTGCCTGCTGAATGTCATTTGAATGGACTAAAAGCCAACAACCCCGTTTTGTGACGTCATGCGCTTTGCATTCTTTCTTGTGTTGCGGTGTGTGGCAGCTGTCTCGGTGGCTGAGGCTGCCCTCGGGCGTTTCGATTCTCTGTCAGCCAGAGTTCTTCGATCATAACAGTTTCGCAAGAGCGTTCTGAATCTAAAACCCAGACATTCCTATGGTCGACTTTGTGGAAACCTGCCGGTGGTCCCGCCACCTGAAAGCAGCAATAAAAAAATACTATATTAGCGTGCTTGCTTGCTTGATCACTATGCCTTGGCTCGTATCCACTATGGGGGATTGACCATTAAACCGGTGGTTATTCTAAAGGGGAAAACGAATTGTTAAATTTTGAAGAAAAAAAATTGAGTCACATAGGCAATATGAGAGCGGATAAGGTGACTTAGGAATAGCATGCTTCCTCCCCTGCATGCGCTGCTGGAAACAGCCTAACGCACGGCATCACGAGAGCTTATTAACGCGTAAGGCTTAAGGAGCTCGTTTCACAGAAATGCCGGCTTTGACGCGGGCGTCGTTTGTTGGGAGCGAAAAATTCTCATCTTGTCCGTGATAAAAAAATTATAAAAAATCTGAATCAGAGTGAGGATTGAACTAACTTCGTTTGCGTGACAAGCAAATGTTCCACCTGACAGCGCTGCGTATGCTTAGAAATACAGTGAAAATAACTGGTTCTGCTAGAAAATGCAGGAAAAGCAACGCTAACACTTGACAAAAACACGCATTCGTGTACGGGCTTCATAGTACAGCATGTAATATCGCAGTTATATTGAGCGGTACATTCTTTATTTTGAGGTATGAAAACAAATCCTCAGCCCGCACCATAAACATATAGCAGGCAATATATTGAGTGGTACAAGCGAAGCCTCCATCGGGCGCCAAAAAATGTAATGATCGTAAGAATATTGCAATT